ATAAAATTATCCTACTAAAATAAATTTGATGATTGTGGAGAATAATCATTGAATAAAAATAGTAAAATAAATAATATAATATTAAAACAAAATGTTTTAGATTGATTAATGTAAATTGTATATATGTCCTAATGCAATTCTTATTTTTAATGTGATTCAGAGTATATGCCTCCCTAGATCTCTGTCGAACTCATTGGAGTTAAAAATACTGACCTCCTACAGTTATATCATCTCCTTAAGAACCTAGCATATTTTACATCCTATGTCTAGGTATGCAAACATACTATTTCATTATTCATATTTATTATTGCATTCCTCCATCAAGGTTATAATATTAAAAATATCATTTAATATTAGAGGACAAAAATCTTCATTAGTAATTAATATATTATCTACATCATCAATCTAAAATTAGAGAATTAGCTGGACATAAAAGAAAAGATAAGCTAAATCATTTTCATTGAAATCATAAAAGAGTGAAAATACAATAGAATGATATGACCATGAAAGATCAATACATCTCCTTACACTCCTTCCTTAACGTACGAAGTTGCTTAAACATATACTAACTATACACTCTAATGATTATATCTAGTACTTCCCTAGTCTCTCTTAGATTTGATTATAAGAGAGATCTAAAGAAGTACTCTAAAATGTATTGAAGTTTTACAAGTGACTGAATTCTGTTTACAAACATAACACGGTGACTATTTATAAGAAAATACAAATTAGGCAACTAGCATTGCGACGCTTGAAAGATTGGCGCCGCAGCACCCATAAAAATGAACTAACGCTCCTGCGTTAATGTTGCAGTTCTCTGGTGGCGCCTTTGATTGCATTGCGACATTCTTTTTTTCAAAGTCGCGGCACTTGATGATACTTAGAATTTGGTGCCTTTTTTATATTTATCCTAAACAACACAACTAAAATAACACATTTTATTAAAAATATAACATATAAAATAATATATTATTTACACTTATCAATACGTGAGGTCGAGAGAAAGAAGTGCTAGAGGTCTACATGATAGGGTCCTGTGGATTGTCTCGATAACCAAAATATTGAATATGGATGAAAATTACTGGATGGAAAAAAAAAAAAAAGAATGAAAATATTTAAGGATTTGATACTCAAAGCATATCTTATGATGTCTAATCGTCCTATTTCTTCCACATCGATTAAATGGAGGATGATCAAGAGACAGCGTGTTGAGGTATCTAATATGCTTAAAGATTTGTAAGCTTGCATGATTAAAAAAGAAGCAAACTCACATGAATGTGGTGATGCAAGATCATGTGGAAGTTTTAATTCAACCACGATTCTATTAACAATACGCAACGTCATCAGAAGATGAGTAAGAGAGTGAGGGAGATGTGAGTGAATGAGAGGAAATGAGTTCAACAATAAATAATTTGTACTAATTTTATATTTCCTTGATGTAAGTATTATTTTTTAATTATTAATTTTCATATATTCATACTCATATTCTGTTTATAATAAAAAAGAATTGTTGTCTATAATTATATAGTTTAACACAAACTTTTGGTTGATAATTTGCATTTTGATTAACTAGGTGAGCCAACATCTTAAAATAAATAATAACTTCGAGATATCAATAGCTATTTTGTCTGAAGATCGATGGAGTAATTACTAACATTCAATTTTCCAAAAAATTTTGATGTATAATCTCTCACAAATATCCAACACAATATCTTCAAGAACACTCTTGTTATAGCATTGCTAGCAATTATCAGCGGTCAACTCATCAAAATAATTGTTTTAATCAATTTATTTAATTAAAAAAAATTCTTTGATTGAAATTTGTAATAATTGAACTAAGCCATCACATAAATAGACCGACTCATTCTTAACCATAATTTCTGTAACCCCTCCACCATATTGCGATCCACATAACACCATCATAACTACCATTAGTATATAGATCATACGTTTCCCACCTTTTTAAAACATAATATAACTAGTTTTACCACTAGGGATTCACCTATTACCCTTACTCATAGCTGCCAAATGTCCTCCCTCTTTTAATCAAGGGTTGCCACCTAACCCCACCCCACCCCACCCCACCCTCTCTCTCTCAAGAAGCTAGCCGTGAATCTTCTCATACTTTAGCTTCAATATCAACTAAGATTAACAGGCCTTCCTCCTCAACTAAGAGATAGCTATGAATCTTCTTCTTTTTTCAATCCATCTCAGTTATAATTAAGATTTTACATCACAGACTTTCAGATAAGTAACTTCCATTTATTATAGGATATATGAATCATTCTTTGTTAGGGGTGTTATCCTTAACATATCTGCTAACTTATTAGATATTTTATAAGTGGTTAATCCTACATTTAATACTTAATTATTGTTATGCCCATTTTCATAATCTACTTTTAATATTCATATTGGAAAATCAAGTATTTTGCTTAATAACTCTATATACTATTGCATATTGAAACTTTCATATAGTAACAATATTATTTTCATGCGCAAAACCTCAATTGAATAAGCAGATTTTTTTTTTCTTACAAAATAATTTTTATTATGAAGATCGTACTTCCTTATTGATCATAAAATACATATTGTATGCTTACTTGTGAAGTGTATATAAAACCATGCATTAAAGTAACTTATAAAAAGAATTTCTCATCCATGAAATGAGCTTCATATTGATGCCCAATATCAGCACATATGCTCAAAGGAGCTAAGTTAAAATCATTCATCAAACTTATAACAAGATATTTGTGAATATTAAGATAGATCGGCTACTTGTTTTCTGTTCTACATACATTATCCAACATTTAAAGCTTTCTATTATCATCCTTGTTGTTAATACCCACATGTCCCACACTGTATGTAAATGATGTCATCATTTTTGGCAAATATTTTTATGAGAACCCTTATTCCCTCAAGAATTTTTTGGAGACTTTGTTATATGGTTCAAATCTTAAAAGTTAAACCATTTAAAAGTATTATTGTCTTCTCTAAGAGCATAAAAACCGCTTAGCTACGTGATATTATCAATTTTACCCACACTTTTTCTACCTTTACATACATTAGGCTTCCGATCTAATCTCATAGACATTATATGATAGACTTCCAGCTCATTGACAAGATTAAGCCTACTCTTGACAAATGGAAAGTAAAGTGCCTTACCTTAATTTGGACGTTTCAACTCCCCAAGTTATCTACTAGGAATATCATTGCCTATTGGGTCCATACCTTTCTCTTCCCAAAAGAAGAATTAATCTTATCAATTCTTGCTATTCCAAATTTTATATAATGGCAAAACCTCTATTAAAGATGCTCCATGATATATTGAAATGTGACTACAAGCTAAAAGAAAAAAAGAGGCTTTGCCTTCTCTCTATTCCCTTTTTATCAACAGGTTTCATGACTAACTTACTTTGAATAATTGGACACCCTGACAATATAATCTCTTCATAGTTTGTTATTATGTATACATCAATTTGGAAGCTAATTGTTAACGAAGCCTGTTTTGTTTTGGAAAAAGAAATCTTTTTGGTATTGCAAACGATATTAGATCCGACCTCTCCTATTCCATTAGGGATGGTGCTTCTATATAGCTCTATTGGACCCTTGGTTTGATGGATGCTCGATTGCTGACACCTGCTAGACTCTCTTCCTTTTCCTACTATTTATAATCTTAACACACTGACCAATGATAATGGTAAAATTTTCCATCTTTTGGATCAGTTTAGAAGGTATTAAACATCAAATATTAAGCCTTTAGACTAATTGTTGTGAGGAGAAGAGTCTTTGGAGTGGTAGTGTTTATCCTTCTTTTAAAACTTTCTATAAGGCACACCATGATCACTTTCCTGCTCTGAGATGGCATAAATTTCTATGGCACCAAAATTATGGCATTTGTTCTTCCATTTACTCTTGACTTGCCATTAATGGTGACCTAAAAACTATAGATGCTCACACTTTGAGACATTATTAATCCTTAAATATTTAAACTTTGCTGAAATGAGAATGAAACTTTAGAACATATTTGCTTTTGTCATTCATATTCCAATGATGTCATAAGAGAGTGGCTCCCATGAACATCTACCTTCCTGAGCCTTTCTCTACTTCAATATTTTGAAGAAACCGACTTATATTTCATGTCCAAAAGTCACGGAAATTTCAACCTTCTATCGATGCATTACATCCTATATCATAATTTGTGGGACTTAAATAATAAAAATTTGTGAGAAATTTTACTAATAGCTCTTCAGTATTTGTTGCCATCAAAAGTGTCCTTCGGGCTAAGCTGAATTGTTGGAAGAAGAATCATGAGTGGGCTAACATTTTTCAGTGATTCTTTATAGTTTCTAACTAAATTATCCTTTGTGTTTTCTTCTTTGGCTCCTCTGTCTTTTTGTATAACAGTACATCTACTCGTCATGCTAAATAAATTTGCATGATAGGAGTGGGCCTTTTCAATTAGGCTTAAGGACGTCGATGGCACCTCTTACGGCTCATCACCCTAAATGATTCTTCCTTCTCTTTTTTGGTTGGTTCGCTTTACTGTTTGCTCGATGATTCTTTGAGAATAAATATTTCTGCACAAATTTTTACTACTTTCTGTAAACAATTTTTTTTTTTAGTTTGCAATAATTTCTCCCATAATAAGAGGATCAGAATAATAGGATCCTTCTCCTTCATCCCTGCTTCCAGAGTTATTTTTAACCCTCTAGCTGGATAATTTAGCAAGAAACTTTAATCCTGCCTTTTGCTCCTCTGGTTTCAGTCTTTTATTTCTTCTCTTATTTTCATGGCTAATTTCTCAGGATCCCTTTTTCCCATATAACGGCACCAATGGTGCTATGAATTTATAACACATCTGAACTCACATTTTACATATTTAAAAGTAATTAGTTTTTGTTTTCCTTTTTTCTAGATCTTTGGATTCTTTGCAATTTCTTCTTTCATTAATAAATTTTAGCAAAACGACGCAAAAATCATGTAGTGTGGACAATGGACGCTGAAGAAACCATTGGTCTGCCTAAACACTTTAGTATGAATAACGCAGCCTTTACATGAGAAACACAGATATCATAGTGCAATAACTAATTTCTAGTGGCCAAAGTGTTCTTATATATACCTTAAAAGCAACAGCTATTTAAAGCATTCAATGCCACACTACGTCCAATAAAAAATTTACCTGTTTCGCAGCCATTCTCCACTAAGAACTCCATATAATTTAATCTGCATTCTCATGCGTTGAGGTACACCGGATGGTTGCAAAATGCAGCAGTTCATAAACAAAAATGACCCTCGTCTCATTTTCCCTTTTAAGAGCTACAGTTGCTCTTTCTAGTTCATTCTTTTTACCTTCCAGCTTTCCAGAAGGGCACACAGCAGTGCTATGGCGCTTCATCAGCTTCGGCAACTCTAGTTAATCTTTTTCATCTCCACTGCTTTCAATAACAACAGGGAACTTATTCTTTCTTTGTCTCTTAGTGCCTTCATTTTCATTACCTTCATCTGCATTAGTTGCTTCACAATTGGGTTGCTCTACTTCGACATAATTTTGAATCATTTCAGCAATCCTCCTACCGTACTTTTTGGCCTTCAACTTCCCTATTAGCTTTTCCAACTGCAGCAATTTAAAATTAAAAGAAAATCGCATGTTTGAAATCAATTTTGGGTCACAAATGAAGTAGGAAAATAAGTAATACCTCTGGTATGGAGGTTGGTTTTTTGGTGCTAAGAAGAGCTATTTGTTGTGCAGACAAAACAGCATGTGGAAAAATTCCACCCTCGCTTGAAGAGATCTCCTTGCGAAGCTCATCTAGCTTGAACTCCAGAAGTGATGAACGGCCTCGTTTAGAAACCCTATTATTTCTATTATGATTTTGTTTCTGCGCCATGCAAATCTCAAGCTTCACTATTCTTTTTCCTGTGTTGAGAAACAAATGAATAACAGCAGAGACGCAAGATCAATTTGTATGATCAGTCTAGCGATATTTTCAATAAAAATAAATAATCACAAAAATCCATGAAATATTTATTGCTCGTGCAAAACAAGTTACTACTCTCATTGTGGGTTATAATGAATTTATAGCCATTCCTCGACCCATCTACTCCATCTTATTGCCTAAAAACCTAAGATAATACATTCCTCAACTCAGATGTTGTGCAATAGATGGAACTAATGGTGGGAAGTTCTGGGATAGCCCTCATGTTTGCAACTCACTAAGGATATTTGTGATATAATGCTTCTTCAGCTCTAAAAGCCCCGCACCAAAATAATCATTGTATCCCATCTCCCCTCGGTCCTCCTCCCAATGTATGTGTCTCCCTTCTCTTCGTTCAAATTCAATCTTAAGGGTTTTTTCCATCACTAACTTAGGTTTAAACTTCAAATAATTAAGATAATAACGATGATGATGATAGCAAACATGTTAATTTCACAAACATAAATGACTATATTAGAACATCTCGGACTTGATGCAATTTCAATTCCAACTATGGTTTATATTGCAGGCAATGTATTTTTTATTGTTATTTTTTTTTTTAATTTAATCCCAACGCCACCCAACAAAAGTAGTACTGCAGGCAATGTAAATCTAAAGCAAGACAATTTAAAGGGTTGACAGTTCATTAAATTCTTTCGCAGTTTACATACTACTCAATGGATGTAGTAACTTAGCCATCATGAACAACTCCATCTATGAATGCCGCCATGTACAATTAAAACATCTAAATTTCTGTTGGATGATTGCAATATATGTTAAAAATGATTTTCTAACAATGTAATTTATAAGATGGTTGGCTATTCAATTTTGGGGAGTCATCATGAAGACTGAATATAGGCTGCAAAATTTCTGACAAAAAACATTCCCACAGTAAGATGCACTATCCATCCATGAACAGTCCATATTGTTTTTTTACTTAAAACAAAATATCAATTAGGTATTCATAACAAGAGACTATAACTACCAAAGCAATTAAACTTTATGCCAAGAAACTGAGATAACTTTTATAGTATATTAAAAACATGCTACATAATTGTTCATAGGATAAGAAAGGAAATCTTATCTTTGAAATATAAGTATACAACGTTAAATGATATTTGGAGATTCTAGTAGATATAGAAAAAAACATCTCACCTAGAAATGCTTGCTTCCATAATGGACCAATTGTAACATAGGCATTGGTTGAATAAGCTGTATGTTGAAATTCTTCTTTCTACATACCAAAGCATAGTTCTTTATATCAGGAAAACATAATTAAAAAATAAAAGTTATGCTGAGTGTTTGTGAAATATAGATACCCATAATGAATTAAAATTCAAACGAAGAAGTGCAGAAAAAGAAAATCAAGGGAAGTTAAACGAAGGAAAATTGATATCCTGTGCGTTCGAAGACGAATGTAAGAAGTTGGCGAAGTCAAACGGAGGACGCATAATATATAATATTTAAATAATAAAATAATTAATTAGATAATTTGAAGCATAATTAGTAAATAAATATTATTAAAATAGCATCTAAATAAATTATTAAATCATTAATTATATTATTATTTATTTAATTAATTAATAGTTAATTAATTAATAAAAATATAATTATTAATTAAATATTTATTCAAAACTAATGTAATAAAGTAATTATATTATTAATGTTATAATTAATAATTAAATTATTAGTTAAATTATTTAATAGTTAAGTTATCATTAATCATATTATTTATAATTATATATTATTGATTATAATTAAAATTAGAATTAATAAGTAATTCTTATTAAAAATACAAATTAAATTTGAATTTTTAATGAACTAACCATCTGGATTACATTGCCAAATAGTTTCATAGTATTTAAAGATTTAACAATTATCTTGTCAAACCATTTTTAGTATTGAATGCACTCAAGGGTTTACTAAATCCAAATTTATAGGATTTATTAAATCCTTCTAAAATTAGATCCTACTTGTTGCCAAACTACGACTAAGAAGGTTTGTTTTAAATACCCTATCCAGATTAGAAAGAGGATTACTAGTTTATCAGTTTGGAGTAGACTTTTTAGTAATGTGGGCTCCAAAAATTCGGCCCTAACATCCGCCGGCATAATTTTGCTTTTCTTTCAACGAGGGAATTTTAACAAATTATGTTCCGGGATAAATTTTGGAAGTCAGATGGGTTTGTAGATAAGACACTTCCCAGAGATTTCGCCCTTATTTTGTGAGGACTTTATGATATGAGTTCTAGTTTCCTATAGGCGCAAGCCCCTATAGTTAATTACCCCTCCCAATAACGAGAGGGAACTTTCGATTAAGGCTAGTCATCAATCAGACACGTAGAGATATGTGGTGTCTGGTATATAATAGCAGCAATGGAATTAGGATTTAGAGATTTGGAAAGTTTGAAGATTTAATATTTAAAAAGGAAATTGTAGCATCTTGCATTTAAAGCGGATGGTGGGGGAATTGATGATAGACCCGATCTAGATCTCATGGTTCCGTCGTCCCGGGCCATCATGGTCCCTGGTCTATTTAGTCAGAGGAGGTAGTTGACCCAACCTGACAGAAGGATCCTTGTCGACAGCCATGGGTTGCTTCATCCAAGGGGACCTTGTAGACCTGGGGTGAATATTTGTCTAAGGGGATAAATTTGAATCCACCTTAGCTAACAACGGGTTTTGTACCCTATCGATCATATCCTATTGATTCATATATCAATGATTTGATGTCAATAAGGAGCGTATTAGCTCTGGCCATAACCGGTATTTCGTGGTGCCATTTGGCGGCAAAACTACTCGGTTTAGAGGGCCCCGAGTCATAAACGTTTATCCTGAGGTGTCATTTGGCGGCAAAACCGCCGGTTAGAGGACACGTACCACGTCCTTACTAGCAGGAGATTGTTTGAGAATAGATCCTTGTGATATTTTCGACTAGGCATTTGGCTCTTTGTGAGATGAAGTAGATTTTAACTTGTCCACCCCTGCAAATTGTTGCGGAGGGTGGATGGATTTTGCTTTAAGTGATTGATGGATTATTTCGAATTTACATATCTTGAAATTTGGGATTTGCTGGGTTTTGGACTTTGAGGAGTTTTGAATTTTGAGTGGACTTTTTGGAGGCATTTGAAAATGCTTGAAATTAACCCTTCCGGTTGAGATCTTCAATCAACGCGGCCATCATCGGGGTGTTTGTGGGAATTTTTATTTATGTATTGAACATTGTCAACTCGACCAAGCTCTTGACCGAGGATCGAGTTTCTCATAGGCTTTGTGCCCTTTGTTAGTGAATTCATATTGTTATGGGCCTTAAAGGTCTAATATGAATGTATTAAAGCAAATACACCAGTTGCCACAACTGTGTATTTGTTTGAAGGTTCGAACCCTTTCGACTCCTATTGATCAGCATAGAAGGAACGGGTTCGAACTTGAATTCACTTATCGACCTGCACAGCATCCCTAGGCGTCACGTGTACACCAATAACATTCTCGTCGGGGCCCATGCGGGTGTTTGGGGGCATTTTGTAATTAAACCCTGTCGACTCTTTTTTATCTACTCAGGAGGATCAGGTTCAAATTTAATAACCCGCGCAACATCCCTAGACGTCACGTGTGTACCAATAACACGCTCGTCGGGGCCCATGCGGGTTTTATGATTACTTTTACCCCTTTTAGTGTACCTATGTATATACAAACTATAGTGCACGTGTGGGGGTACTTTGAAAGTATTTATAAATGCCTTCTGTCCACTTGCATAGAAGTTACGGATCCGGTGGCATGGCGTAGCAGCTTCAGAATAGAATTGTTTGCTGCTTGATACAGGTAGACTGTCGTGCACTACTTGCATGATTTATGGAGATAGATTGTAGTGCACTAACTAATCTCCTGCTTTTGTGTTGTAGGATCTTGCATTCGTTATATTCTTTGTACATTTCATTGTGATTTTGGTCCTTACAACATATCTACTACTGCTGTAGGTAAATGTATTCATTTGTAGACTAAGGTTGAATACAGGATACTGCATTTACTGAAGTCTTTCTACATCTATCTATCAGTGGCATATGGCACATACATTTGTCTTTGTAGAGAGATTGTATGTGTTACAGATCTTTGGCATTTTGCTTGTGAACACTGTATTGGGTACACAATGGGTCTTTTACGGTAGCTTGTAGATACTTAATTGCATTCTTTGTAGTTCTTTCATGCTTATTCTCAAACTATATCTTGTTGAATGTATAACAGGTCTTGTGTAGTGACTTGTAGGCATATGCATTTATCACTACCCTTCTATATTTGTGTATGGCGACCTTCTTACAACAACTTGTAGGTACTTATATTTATTGTAAGCATTTGGTGTTGACTACAAACAAGTCATATTCATTATATTCTCCTCAAGTATATTCCTTTGGTGAATTACTATCTTCTTTATATGATCCAAGGTCGCATCCACTAATGGTTCCCTTTGTAAGACATTCAACCTTATTCATATAGACACACCACTTAACTGATATGAGCATTTGTAAGTTTCATAATGTCTATGTACAAGCCAAAGGTTCTGCAGCGCTGCATGTTGAATTCCCCGCCTGCAGGAGGCAGATACTTTTACTTACCACTATCTTACTATGTGTCGTATAAGTATCTTTACATTTGTCACGAGCTTCTTGTCAATGTAGTTTGTAGTCAAATTGCAAGTCCGGATCTTTGTAGTCAAATTGCAAGTTCTGCTTCATATCCAAGATGAGTTCAAGTTCTAGTTCTTTGTTCAACTCATGTGAGTTCAAGTTCTATGTTCCCTGCTGTCCAAATGTTGTTCAAATTTGAGTCTGAGTTCAAGTCCAAGTTATTGTCCACCTTGCAAGTTCAAGTCAAGCTAAAGTTCACTTGAGTTCAAGTTCATTTCCAAGCATGGTCTTATTCACTTGAATTTGAGTCCACATTATTCAAGTCCAAGTTAAGACTTCTTGTACCAAGTTCATTGTCATTTGAGTACAAATTTGAGTTAAATTGAGTCCGAATTTTAGTTCAACTTGAGTCCAACTCAAGTCTTACACAAGTTCTTTCTTGAGTTTTGCTTAAGCCATTTGCTTACTTATTTAAGTTTGAATTTAGTTCAATTGATGCCCAAATTAGTGTCCAAATAAGATTCAACATTGTTCAAAGTCCTTGGATTTTCAATCCAAATTTCAGTAGCCTCCTAGCGTCTCACCCGTTTAGAGGAAAAACCAAGAGGAAACCTTCCCCTCGACGCTACGTGAGCGTTTCAGGTAGGTGTCAAAAGACACCGCGGTTGCAAATTTTTATTAAAATCCCAGCCCGCTACGTGAGCGTTTAAGGGTTTGGAGCACAAGTTAGAAAGAACATAAATTTTCCCCCTTTGCACTACGTGAGCGTTCAGGGGTACTTATATATATAAAAAAAATTTAAATAATAATAATATTATTAAAATAATAGAAACTATATTATTATTATTATTAAAATTATATAATTAATATTATGAAAATTATATTATTATTATTATGAAAATAATAAGAATATAATAATAATAATAATATAAACATTAATATTAATATTAATGTTAAATGCACTTAGCATCAAAACATTGAAGTGAGAGAGAGAGACCACTTTGAGCTTATTTGAGTTTGATTGAGTGAGTGGGTTGAGTTGGGATGAGTTGAGGTTGAGTTGGGTTTTATTTAAGTGAAGTAGAGAAGGGCACGGACAAGTTCACTTCAGTCCAAATGTTGTTCAATATTTATTAAGTGTCCTTCTACAAATTTTGAGTTTTTATATATAAAAATTAAAATTCAGTATTTTAAATTAATAAAATTAATTACATAAATAAAATGAAATAAAAAATCAAAATTCTGGTACAAGTACGCCTAGTTATCATCCTTTTCTATAGCCGACATCCTTTGTTCTTTCATCCACATATGAAAATGAAAAATCTTCCCTCTTATTCTTTCATCCACATATGAAAATGACAAATCTGCCCTCCAATTTGATTTTTGGTTATTACTTAAAAATAGTCAAAATGGTAAGTATCTGAACATAATAACCTAAGCCCTAACAACTCAATACACATTTCCCTCAATCTTATTCCTATACCCAGCCACCCTATATCGGACTACAACTCACGACACGCACTTTCTTCTTCTATGCAACTCCCTCCTCAAGCTATTGCCGACGCGACTGACCCACGACCAACTAGATGTCACCGTCCAGACCTCCAACCTCT